TAAAAAAAATTTTGGAACAATAGATTTAAAAATTATGTTGCCTTTTAGGAATAAACAGGGAACATAAAATCTATGATTTCTGTTCTTTAGAAAAATGATATATAATTTAGAACGGGGAGTATGGTGTGGGCAGAATTAAGAAATAGGAATGCTAAATTTCCGAAACTTTCGAGAAGAAAATGAATGATAATTTCCGAAGGGAAAATGTAAAAGAAAGGGAGAGAAGAATTTTATAATAAGAACATTAAAATTTTTTTAGGAAAATAAATTTCTAAATCTATTCCCTCAGGGAACAAAAAAACTTTTCAGATATTAATATTCTTCATCGCTCAGAGGTAAAAGATTTATTTAATTTAATGAATTAAAAAAAATAGTGATCCAAATATAATGAAAATTCAGTATAATTATAAAAAAATGAAACATGTACACTAAAAGAACTACTTAAATTTATTTCTTTATCATCATTAATAAATACAGTACGTAATTATTATTGTCATCAATAATAGGTCTCATGAACTGTATTAAGTACTGCTTAGTTATTTATCAAAAAGTGAAAATTGATTTATGTTGTGAGACCCGGGCGTGTGACTAGAGATGGTAAAAAAACGGTTTAAACTGTTTTTCTAAATTTTTTAAAATTTGCTAAAACTAAATTTTGTTAATTGGTTAATTTTATTTTCAGTCGAGAAATTTTTTTTAAAAAAGACGATGTTTTAATTTCGAATTTATTTGTTATTATAAAAAAATAATTAAAATAAACCAATACATTTGGTAGCTTTAATTTTTTATCAAAGCTATTACATTTTGAATGCGCAATTTGTTTCTCGGCTAGTACAACCTTTCATTCTATATTAGTTTTAATCGGCAACTAAATCAAAACAGTCTTCTTTACAATAATTATATTTTTTGTGATGTGTTGTTTGACATGTTTACACGTATCAGTTCAGAAATTTTTATAAAGTTTAAACGGATTTCTTTTAATGGGGTCTTTCGCGAACAAGAAACATTGTTTTGAGGTATTTTTTTTATTCTATCCCTACCAGCAGGCCAGTCCAATTAAACTTCTTTTATTTCAGAGTGTGTCAATATAACCAGAACGAATTAATATACTACGCCTTATTATTTCATATTTAATACTTCTATACTAGTCATTAGCGATTTATAATTTTGCTATATATGGTTATGCAGTAGTGTAGTGATTGTGCACCCTCTTTGCATAAAAGAACAATATGTATGTAACAACATATTATTGAAAATGACAAATTTAAATTATCTCTAATGAGTTAGTTAACCTTTATTCTATATTAAGTGATTGAGATTTTAGATTTCCTGCACTGTAAGTTTCCTGCAAAGTATAAAACTTGCAAATCTTTTCATAAATTTTATAATTTGATATTTTAGCCTCATTAAATTATAAAAAATTTTATTCTGTAATTTGGTTTAAATAATTAATCATGAGTTGGTCTTATAGTAGAATCTCTTCTAATTGGAAGGGTTCAACTACTATGGCACCAAATGGCGAAAAGATTGTGGTCTTCGCATCTCATGTTTGGGAAGTTAATTCAGATGGCATATGTAATCAAGCGGGATCTGACTGGCCAAATACTGTAGCAGCTACTACTAATGGCAACTTCATTTACGCTATTCGTCCTGACGGATCCATTTACAAGCTTAGAACCTCGAATTATACTGTTTCCAAGTGGATTGATGCTGGTGTGGATGGGATAAAGCGAAAGCAATTTTTTCTTACAATGATCACATTTACGTAATCCTTGACGCTATCTGGGAAATCCGTCTTGACGGCATTTATAAAAAAGTCCAAAGTGAAAGCTGGAGTAGTACGCGATCTATCACAGTAATCGGTAATTATGCATATTTAGTGAATGGTAATAGGATTTTTAAACTTGACTTGAGAAATTGGACATACAGAATTCTCAGCAGCGGTTGGTCAAATACGTCCCTATTACTTACATTAGGCAATAAATTATTTGCCTACGATATATCTCTTACAATAGTTGATACAGATACTGGTGAGACAACTGTTGTGCATAGCAATAATTGGCATAAGATATTGACTGGTTGTGCTACCTCTAGTACAATGTATGCTGTTTTTGATAGTGAAGAACTTTGGAAAGTTACAGATCTTAATATTGAGAGACCTCTTTAAATGCACCCTCTATGTAAAAATCTCTTAAGTGCACAATATATCCTGGTCCAAAATTTAAATAGTGCTATATATTTTACTTCTATAAATGACACTTTCTAAGTGTCCATTTTTGAAAATCTTTACTGTGGCCTGAGGAAGTGCATTTTTTAGAGAGATTTTTCTGTAATTGTATTTTATCTAAAAAAAAGTGGATGTAGTCAACTCTCTAAAAAGAATTCTTTAAATGCAATCCTTTTATAACTTTCAGCATACTAGCTATAGGATGATATAAGTCGTTGATTAATATGCAACTTTTCTTTAAATAAACTTTTTATTTTATTAATATTTTATTTTGCTGTTTATTAAAATTTTTATTTTCTAGCAAGTTGCACTTATTTTAACTTTGATCAAATTTTATGCAGTAAAAAAAAATGTTGTAAAATTATTTTAATAAATTACCACGATTTTATGGAAATATTTGCTTAAGTACGAGATGTAGAATCATAAATAAATTAGAATTTATATATAATTAAATATAGTCAAACCTCTCTGTAGTCGCCTTCTATATAAGCACTTTTTTTTTTATAAACCCATTTT